CTGCCGCCCCCAGTACTGCGATGTCAGCTCCTTGGCATGCCGCGCCGCCTCCATCTGCTGTGCTTCCCACGCTGCCGCTTCCTCTAAAGCAGCGCCGCCACTAAGCGGCGCAACCAAGTTCTCGCACTGTTTGCATGAGCATGTGTCCTGCTGGTGCGGCGCACAATCCGCGCGCGGCGAGTGAGAGTAGAAGACTGACAGCAGGAGCTGCAGGAGCTGCAGGAGCTGCGCAGATCGGATGGGTGGTGACGCCGTCGAGCGACGGCGCAAAGACCAATCACCACCGCTGAGAGCCGCGACACGAGGCTGCTGGCAGCTGCACCTGTGAGAGCCGCGACACGAGGCTGCTGGCAGCTGGCAGAGCGAATCGCGATTCCGGCGGCCGCCGTCAGCCCGCCGACACCGACGGCCTGTCTGAGGTCAAACTCCCACCGCACGTCGGACCAGTCGTGCGTCAGCCATGGCGACGAGACGTCTGTATGCAGACAGCCCGCCACCCGGGCGATAGAACATGCCAGCTGGGCTCTTCCAGGGCTCTCGTGGCCCGTGGCGCGTGCCCAGTGGGCGGGCTGCGGCGGGCGCAATAACTATTCACAGCTAATGAAAACTATAAAAACTCGCGGCTTCATCAAAGTTTGAGGTGGCTTCGTCCTCAGCACCATCAAGACAGCTCTATTCACACCCTGTTTGGTTTGAAGCCACTCGGGGATGCCCGTTTACACCCAACCGACGAGTCGCTGGGCCCTCTGACCTGAGCCGGAGCCCGGCGAGCCGGCCGAGGCCCGAGCTGCGCGCCGGACGGTAGCGGTCTGGTAGGGGTAGCGGTCTGGCAGCGGTGTATGTGCTGATCAATGCGTATATCAGACCGGACCCAGCAGGCACCCCCACCCACACACGCACTCAAACCCGCACACCGGTCACACCCCGCCCTCGCCGGCGGACGCGGGGCGGGGGCTGGGGTGTTCGCGCGGTTTGTAGTCTACTCTCCTTCACGGCACTGTCTACTCTCCTTCACGCATCACGGCAGTCCACTCTCTTCATTCACGGCAGTCTCCTTCCCTTCACGCCAGTCCTCTCTTCACGACAGTCTACTCTCCTTCACGCATTCAGATTCACGGAGCAACCGCCTCTCCGCGGCAGCTCATCGTAAACTCGGCTCCGCGCGTGACGCTCAGGAAGCCGCACCACACAAACCCGACGCTTGCGGAGAATGGCACGCGCAAGTGCATCGGCATGACGGAGAACTGCACCAGCGACGTCGGGATGAAGAGCCTCCAGAGAGCCTGCAGGTCGTCGAGCGCGTTGGCGGCATACGTGTTCATCGCGT